GTGTGTGTGTGTTGTGTGTGTGTGTGTGTGTGTGTGTGTGTGTGTGTTTGTGTGTGTGTGTGTTTGTATCACTGGCATGGCGTGTGTCACCGCTCACAGTGACAGGTTCCTTCAATATTGTAGACACAACGAAGTGCAGAAATCTCATTCCCATCATCATGTAAATTTACACCCGTGTTCCCTCTCTCCCCTTACAAATGCCTTTTTCCTATAACTATCACTTGATGGTTTTGGGGTCGTCATCGCCTCCTCGACCCGGTCGAAGACCAAACTTCCTGATTCCTGTTCTCATTAGTCAAGCTAATGGTATTAGCAGCATTTAGTCAAACGTAGGCACCACATCACGGCTGATCAGGAAAAGTCTAGAGGAACTCGTCACGTTTCTTTTATTAATAATTTAAGATAGCCTTCCCCTCGAGTCATTACCCAGGGAGGGAGGAGGGTGAGAGAACCTAACTTTCGTCCTTCTACCTACCTATACCTACCTACCTACCTACCTACCTACCCTGGATCGCTTAAAATCCCATGTAACTACTCTCAACACCTTCAGAAAGTACAACTTTTCCCCAAGAGTCGATATCATGAGGAAGAACTTCCACTTAACTACCTGGGGAAGAACTATCTAACCACCCAGGGAAGACCTTGCCTAACTGCCCGGGAAGAACTACCACTTAACTATCCTCTAGTGTTTACGAATTTGTAATTCAGGAGCACAAAACACCCGTAAATTCTGTGTTAACATAATGTCTAGTTACAGATGGTAATACTGGTGGTAATATTAGTGGGACAGCATCACTAGACGCTGGATGGTTGACAACATACACAGGTACTGTCAGCATAGTTGCTGATCCCTACATTTGTTGTATAGCTTATCTGAGTATCATAGTTAGCACCATCCATATGTTTTACATACACGACCCCTTTGCTAGGCCTAGTTACTATTTTATATGACGTCACGTAATGCAGCATGAGTGCGTGTGACGCGCTACATCGGCCTCAGTCCACGCATAGGTCTACAACAGGCAACAGGGCAGTTTGGGCTCTCTCCCTACACACTCTGCAATATAGTGTTACCATCCAACAAGTGTGTTTATCTCCAACCTTCATATCTCCTACGAACCCGCCACCACAGGAGCCCTGTTATATGCTGCATTTTGGCAGCATTAGGAGTTTCCGTTACTTTGCTGTCCGGGAATGCGAGTACAGGCCTGATCTAGGAGGGTGTTATTTGCGTAAAAACTGTACCTTAAACCTTCTCGACAGTGATGGTTGATTGGCGACCGGGCATGTTTGGAATGGCGGGGAAATAATAAAAAAAAAACAGATATGTGGTTTTTCCAATTTTGCCCGACGTAAGAGACAGGTTACCTCAAGGGACGTTTTCGGTCCACTGAACATACCTTGACTCCTTTCACCACGAGTCTGTGTTTACCGTGACTTGAAATTGGACATATCGTCCGAAACTTCAAAGATTTTGCTCACAAATTCCGTACATGGTGGTACCTTACGGTTTGGTGGACTTATTCTGTGTTACTCTTTAATAGGGCATTATAAGTTTTTTGTGCTTGGTAGGAACCTTTCAAAGATAACGGTATACAGTTCCTACTGTACAAAACGACAAGAACAGTCAACCTCGAATGTCAGAAACTAGTACCTGAGATAACAAAGCAAAATATAACTCAATACAAGAAAATTAAAATATGTGGTGTGTGTCAGTGCGGAAGACAACGCTAGCCACACGCCGCAGCTACGGAGAGAAAACACGAGCAAGTTGAGACACGGTATACGTGCATTTGAAAAGGGAATCGCAGGTAAGATCAAAACTTACACAGTGCGCACGTTGTGGGACGATGAAGAAAAGGTAACTTTCGCCAGTACGAGAGGTGACCCACGACTTCCAGGCTGTGGTAATGTGGGCCGTGGACTCGCTTCCCTGCTGACCCCCTCTGACCTCACGTGACCTCCGACCGACCCCCGCCATCACACTTCAAGCTGCAGGTGTAGCTGCAGGGTTTAGCGCAGGTGTGACATTCGCTTTAACATGGCCCTGGAGGCATAGCTTCCGGGGCGTAGCACAAGATACAACACTGCCTTACAACACCACTCTGCGAGTGTACCTGAAAGTACACTTTCTTTTAAATGCTTAATGGTGATACATTCCAACTCTTTAGATACGAAACTAATAAAAAACTCAGCACGAACACAGAGCACAAAACGCAGGTAGACCATTTCGTAGAACGGGAAAAAAATGTTAAATGTTATAATGATGTCAGATGATCTATCGTATAGAGAACACAAAGCAAATGCAACAAATACCAGGATAATGATAGTGTGAATTATGATAATTTTTAAAATAGAGAAGTCAATGATGATACTATTCAAATACATTGTCCTCTGAGTCTGGAATATTGTGCTGTACTCGCGGCATATTTCAAGGCAAGAGAGATGTCGCATAGAATAAACAAAACATCTGAACTACTGGGATCGCCTCCAAGCACTTGTCATGTACTCTGGAATAGAGATGAGACACCTGATAATAATGAAAAGTACTTAGTCATATCCCCAATCTACAAAGTTCATAACAACTTATTAGTGTGCAAGGTAGAGCTGGAAGTGTAGGATAAACACACTGAAAAGCAGGAGAGTATTAGGAACAAAAGAAATCAGGGTCCAAGACTCTTCAACCTGCTGCCAACAGATGTCAGAAATTGTCGAGCAAGTGTCGAAGTTTTAAAGCCTGGCAGATCTGGCACTTGAAGCAGGTTTACCAGGTTGTGATAGTTATGCAGGCCTGCGGGCCGTTAGTAGCAACAGCCTCCTTGATCAGGCAGTCGTCTAAAAATTCTAACCTCAAGCCTTGCTGTGAGGTTAAAAACACTCTTGAAACCAGTCACAGGCACTCACAAATCTCACGATAACATTTACTCGGCACATTTGCCGAGTAAATGGCAGGTTTGGAACCCATGAGAAATCAGTCCAGGCCCATACTTGCACCAGTGGTACAGTCCAGGCCCATACTTGCACCAGTGGTACAGTCCAGGCCCATACTTGCACCAGTGGTACAGTCCAGCCCCATACTTGCACCAGTGGTACAGTCCAGGCCCATACTTGCACCAGTGGTTACAGTTCCAGGCCCATACTTGCACAGTGGTACAGTTCAGGCCCATACTTGCACCAGTGGTACTGTCCAGGCCCATACTTGCACCAGTGGTACAGTCCACGCCCATATTTGAACCAGTGGTACAGTCCAGGCCCATACTTGCACCAGTGGTACAGTCCAGGCCCATACTTGCACCAGTGGTACAGTCCAGGCCCATACTTGCACCAGTGGTACAGTCCACGCCCATACTTGCACCAGTGGTTCAGTCCAGGCCCATACTTGCATCAGTGGTACAGTCCAGGCCCATGCTTGCACCAGTGGTTCAGTCCACGCCCATACTTGCACCAGTGGTACAGTCCACGCCCATACTTGCACCAGTGGTTCAGTCCAGGCCAATACTTGCACCTGTGGTCCATTTCAGGCCCATACTTGCATCACTGGTCCAGGCAGGTCAGTGCTCGCATCACTGGTCCAGGCCAGGTCCATACTCGCACCACTGACTGGTCCATTCAGGCCAGTGTTACACCTCTGGTCCACTCCAGGCTCATATTCGCATCACTGACTGGTCAGTGCAGGCCAGTGCTCACACCACTGGTCCAAGCCAGGCTCATACTCGCACCACTGGTCCAGTCCAGGCCAGTGCTCGCACCACTGGTCCACGCAGGCTTAGTAAGATTCATTCAACCAGTTATATATTTGTATACACAGAGGTTAACGTGGGTCTGACGCTGGCCACAAATACAAATTATTATTGACAAATTCCCCAGACACATTCCAGCGTTGAGATGTATATCAAACCTCTGTATGGTCGAGAAATATATACCTAGTTGTGTGACACTAAGCCGCTTGCGTGCGCCAGTGGTCATTATTAGTCTTCTATTTTCACCAATGGTTGGCCCAGGTCCTAGGCCGGACTTCGGGAGTAGGAAGACTCTGGAAATCAAGAGAGGTAGTTGAAAAGTCGGGGACCTCTGACACTTATCGAGTTTTATCTTAGTGTACTTGTTGCGCCTCTGCTTTTTAGTGGAAATATTTTGCACCGTCTGCCAAGTCTCTTTTTGAGCTGTTGCATATGCCTCTTACCCACTAAGTCTCTTTTTGTCATACGGAGTGATTTCTCTGTTCAGGTTTGAGACCAGTCCTTCCAGGATTTCCCAGGTGTATATTATGTGCCTTTCTTGCCTACGTTTCAAGGAATACAGTTGAATGAAGTTCAACCGTTACCAGTAATTCAGATGCTTGATTGACTGTATACGAGCAGTGAAAGTGCTCTGCACGTTCTCCAGCTCAGAAATCTCGCCTGTCTTGAAGGGGACCGAAAGTATACAGCAGTATACTAGCCTGAAGAAAACAAATGGCTTAGAATATCATCATTGGCTCAGCATCTCTTGTCTTGAAAGTTCTGATTATTCTCTATCATTTTCTTTGCAGTAGCAATGGCAGCATTGTTGTGATCCTTGAATGTGAGATCTTCCGAAATGGGACTTTCTCGCTCATGGGACTTTCACTCCATTGAATTATTTGTCCTGTACTCCGTTAGTCTTTATTTCTTACATTCTTCAATACCGAAGCAATTGAAACTTGTCCTCGTGAAATTTCATATTGTTTGAGGCTCACTGGAAGATTTGATTTATATCCGTCTGAAGTGTCGCTGTGGCTTCGACGGCCAACTCTCTCTTAGGATAGTAACAAGTTGGTAATAATAGTAGCAACTTGATAATGATAGTAGCAAGTTAATATCCTATCCTGTGAGAGTGTACAGCGAATCTTCAGGCGGATATAAATCAAGTCTTCCAGCGAGCCTCAAACAATATGAAGTTTTTATGATGAAATCAGTAAATAACCAAACAGTTGTAATGTTTTATTCATCACACACATAAATGTATTCATCTTCTTGCAGGTTTCCACCTCTCCGGGACGGTGATGTGTACTCGGAGCTCCGTGGGTCCTCTCGCCGCTGCTGCCACCACCACCACCACCACCACGGCCGTCGACTCCACCACCACCTCCACAACCACCTCCACCACTACCACCACCACCACCACCAACACCACCTCATCCACCAACACGGCCCCACAAAAGTGCCAAGTCTCCATATCTTTCGACAGGTAAGACGCCATTCTGAGGCGAGTATCTTTTCAGGTGGGTTTTACCGCCTAGTTTTTCGTGTGCACTCTTGGCTGACCCCTTCTTCGACCCTCACTTTCCATATTTCCTCTACCCTGACCCTCTTGCCTCTGCCTAACCTCTTGCCCTCTCAGGGCTGCCCAATATGCCCACCTCACGAGCCAGACATTACCCTATCCTGGCCTGGTTCTCTTCTGCACCAACTGCTGCTGAAGGAACAGCTGTGGTGGCCCAAGTAGCAACAGAAGTAACAACGGCTGCAATAGTATCAACAACACTGTTCGACCCATACGGTTTTAACGCTCGTTTTCGAGTACATATAGTAATTATAGTATTAACAGCAGCAGCGGTTGAAATAGCGGTAGTAGCAATAGAGGCGGTAGTATTAAGAACTGAGGCAGTTTAGCAGCAGCAGTATTTGTAGCGGTAGTGGAAATAGTAATAATAGTAATAGTAGTAGTATGGACGGTACAACAGCAAGAGTGACAAAGAAAATCTTTTTGTTGCTATCTTGTGTGAGGGGAAAGATTGTAGATGTGGTGGATCACCTACAAACAACCACTTGTTTCCACTTGCACTTCACAACTTGCACACACCACTTTATACAAGCAACCACAAACCACTTGTTTCCACTTGCACTTCACAACTTGCACACACCACTTTATACAAGCAACCACAAACCACTTGTTTCCACTTGCACTTCACAACTTGCACACACCACTTTAAACAGCAACCACAAACCACTTGTTTCCACTTGCAGGCCACAACTAACGCAGCACATTTCTAAACTGACGGAAATGTTAAGTCTTACATCATATGATGAGATAACAACCAAGTTGTAGGCTGTGTGTGTATACTCACCTAGTTGTACTCACCTAGTTGTGGTTACAGGGGTCGATTCATAGCTCCTGTCCCCGCCTCTTCACTGGTTGCTACTGGGTCACTCTTCCTCCTCCATGCACTTTATCATACCTCTTCTTAAAGCTATGTATGGATCCTGCCTCCACTACATCACTTCCCAGACTATTCCACTTTCTGGCAACTCTGTGATTGAAGAAATACTTCCTAACGTGTGTGTATTCACCTATTTGTGGTTGCAGGGGTCGAAACTTAGCTCCTCGCCCCGCCTCTTCACTGATAGCTACTAGGTCTCCCTGCTCCATGAGCTTTATCATACCTCGTCTTAAAGCTATGTATGGTTCCTGCCTCCACTACATCACTTGCTAGACTATTCCACTTCCTGACAACTCTGTGACTGAAGAAATGCTTTCTAACATCCCTTTGACTCATCTGGGCCTTCAACTTCCAATTGTGACCCATTGTTTCTGTTGTTTCTGTGCCCCCTCTCTGGAACATCCTGTGTGTGAGAAGAGAGTAGAGAGAGAGGAGTAGAGAGGAGGAAAGGGAGAGAGAGAGAGAGAGAGGAGACAGACAGACAGACAGACAGACTCGAGTGTGGAAATGTTCGTATAGCATAATATCAACGAAATAAAGTCAGATAATCAATTGAAATTGCTGGTCCACAGATGGCCCGAACTCCATCCTTTTTCCATATTTGTATTTCAATTGAGCTGTTGTAAGCAACAGCTCTTTGCTTGTAAATAAAGTTTGGAGTCTTTAACCTAACCTTGTAAAACACCGTGTTAAAAAGAGAGAGAGAGAGAGAGAGAGAGAAAGAGAGAGAGAGAGAGAGAGAGAGAGAAAGAGAGAGGGCACTTCCCACTCTCATTAACCTGGCATAAGCGTCACTTTACCAGTAATTCTGTATTCTCCATACTTTCATTATTAGTATGATAAACAACTATATTCTCTCGTATGTTTGTATGCAGTTTTTAACCCCATCCCCCCCCCCCCGGTATATTATTTGCCGGAATTATAAAGTGGTGATTAAGTGGAGTATAAGTAGTGTAAAGTGTTGTGTCGGGAGGTGAAGTGGGAGTTCTCACACCCCCTGGTATGTTAGAATTGAGAATTGTTTGGTCGTTGTTTTGTGGTCTGGTTGAGTATTGTGTGCTTCATTTAGAGTACCGAACGTTGTTTTAGGGTAGCTTTCGTTTTAGGCTACTTAGCGTTGTTTTCAATTAGCGTTGTTGTAGGCTAGTTAGCGTTGTTTTCGGGCAGTTAGAGTTGTTCGTGTGTTGCTAGCACAGTTATCACCACCAAGATGGCGGTGGTCGCTGTGCCGCGTATTTTATACACCAAATTTATATTGTACTGAACATCGTTTCGTGCTGTTGTTGTTAGTGACTTAGTGTTTTTAGTGGCTGATTAGCTGAGGTGGCCTCTAGCAGTCTGTCGTCAGTGATGTCTGTTGTCAGTGCTTCTGATTGTCGTCAGTGCTGTCTGTTGTCAGTGCTTCTGATTGTCGTCAGTGCTGTCTGTTGTCAGTGCTTCTGATTGTTGTCAGTGCTGTCTGTTGTCAGTGCTTCTGATTGTTGTCAGTGCTGTCTGTTGTCAGTGCTTCTGATTGTTGTCAGTGCTGTCTGTTGTCAGTGCTTCTGATTGTTGTCAGTGCTGTCTGTTGTCAGTGCTTCTGATTGTCGCCAGTGCTGTCTGTTGTCAGTGCTTCTGATTGTTGTCAGTGCTGTCTGTTGTCAGTGCTTCTGATTGTCGTCAGTGCTTCTGATTGTCGCCAGTGCTGTCTGTTGTCAGTGCTTCTGATTGTCGCCAGGGCTGTCTGTTGTCAGTGCTTCTGATTGTCGCCAGTGCTGTCTGTTGTCAGTGCTCTGATTGTGCCAGTGCTGTCTGTTGTCAGTGCTCTGATTGTCGCCAGGCTGTCTGTTGTCAGTGCTTCTGATTGTCGTCAGTGCTGTCTGTTGTCAGTGCTTCTGATTGTCGTCAGTGCTGTCTGTTGTCAGTGCTTCTGATTGTCGTCAGTGCTGTCTGTTGTCAGTGCTTCTGATTGTCGCAGTGCTGTCTGTTGTCAGTGCTTCTGATTGTCGCCAGTGCTGTCTGTTGTCAGTGCTTCTGATTGTCGCCAGTGCTGTCTGTTGTCAGTGCTTCTGATTGTCGCCAGTGCTGTCTGTTGTCAGTGCTTCTGATTGTCGCCAGTGCTGTCTGTTGTCAGTGCTTCTGATTGTCGCCAGTGCTGTCTGTTGTCAGTGCTTCTGATTGTCGCCAGTGTTGTCTGTTGTCAGTGCTTCTGATTGTCGCCAGTGCTGTCTGTTGTCAGTGCTTCTAATATAGTCGTCTGTAGTCTCTGAGGTTGACCCTGACGTGAAATATTTGTACCCTCTTCGTAAATGGATGACAAGTGTTTGCACTCTCTGGCACTCACTGGCATCCCCTGGCACTCATTGACCCCTTCTGGCACTCACTGGCAACCTCTGGCACTCACTGGCTCCCTCTGGCACTCACTGGCAACCTCTGGCACTCACTGGCACCCTCCTGCATTAAGCAAATTATGCTTATCAAGATGGTTTCTTATATTATCAGCTATAATTGACTAATAATTAAGTCCTTTCTAAAATTTTCTCTTGTACTTTTAAAGATATATTTTTTCATTTATGTTAATGTAAAAATTAATAATTTTGTCCAAAAGAACCTTAGAAAACTTACCTAACCTTATTATAACAAGCGTAATTTAATTTAGCCTAATCCAACTAAATATATTTTAGATAAGTTTACACTCGCTAGCAACCTCTGTCACTCGCTGGCAGCCTCTGGCACTCACTGGCACCCTCTGGCACTCCTTCCAGCTTCTAATATCTTAACTGCTGTTCCTCGTCCCTATTATGTTTTCACGCCGTCATTCATTATTCCTCACCCCCTCCCTTCAATAATGTCTCCCAGACCGTGTGCAGCTCTCCTAGCCTGCCCTCTTTCTCCTCTCTCTCTCTCTCTCTCTCTCTCTCTCTCTCTCTCTCTCTCTCTCTCTCTTCTCTCCTCTCCTCTCCTCTCCTTCATTAACTTCACTCTTTTGATTCCCTTCTTTTCCTCCTCCATTGCTTTCCTATCTTCTTTTCAATTCCTACGTTCCTTTCATCCTCGATGTAATCTCTTCCTTTTGGTTGGCTCTCTCTTCGTCCACTCTCTTCGTCCCCACCCTAACCTAGTCAGTCATTTCTATCCCTTTTTTATTCTTCCTATTCTCTTGTGTCGCCCTTCTTGCCTCATTCTCTCTCTCTCTCTCTTCTCTTCTCTCTCTCTCTCTCTCTCTCTCTCTCTCTTCTTCTTCTCTCTCCCTCCTCCTCCTCCCTCCCTCCCTCTCAGGTTTCCTAGGCCTCTTCCCTAGACACTTAGTTACCTCCGACCTACTAAATATTTTGTGCAGGAGGATAGAACAGGAAGCTATCCCATGATCCTCTCTCTCTCTGTGTGAAGAAGAGGGATGGGGGAATCAGACCCATTGCAGTTGGAAACACTCTTCGCCGTCTCGTTGCCAAAGCAGCAGTGAGAAACATTCGCCACACCAACTGGGCTTTGGGGTCTCTCAAGGCAGTGAAGCTGCAGCTCATGCGGCAAGGGCCTACATCAGGGACCTACCAGAAGACAAGGCCATAGTCAAACTTGATTTTAGAAATTCCTTTAATATGGTGAAGAGAGATGCTGTTTTGCCAGCTGTTCGGGTTCGGTTCCCCAGTCTCTTTCCCTTCATTTCAGCCTGCTACAGCAAACCCTCAATTCTTTTGTTTGGAGAACATGAAATTCAATCATCAGAGGGTGTTCAGCAGGGTGACCCACTCGCTCCACTTCTCTTCTGCTTGGCAGTAAGAGAACTAACTTCCAGCCTACGCAGTGAGCTCAGTATCTGGTACCTGGATGACGGCACTCTGGCAGGTACTGAAGAGTCCCTCGTGGGGGACCGACAACTGGTGAAAACACAGGGAGAAGACTTGGGACTCATCCTCAATCCCTCCAAGTGTGAAATCATCACAGCGAACCAGGAAATAATCAATGCTGTGCGAAGAATCCTCCCAGAAGTCTCAACTACAACTCCGTCCAACAGTACCCTCTTGGGGGCACCTCTGGGTCACCAGGC